ATTTCAAATAGGAACATCAGATTAAGAAGAAGAGAGGTAATGAGGTGCAAGGAGAAAATCCTTCCCTGGAGAACAAATCAAACCTGATATCATCATGAAGGGTAATGAGAAATGCACTGCCGAACTGCGGAGACTCACCGCAGCTGCTTAGAGGAAACGAAACCGTGTATTCCTATTTAAAACACCAGAGAGGGGATGCTCATGTTTTGGTCTGCTGGCTAAGACAGGGCACGCTCAGTTTGCACACCTGCCTTTTGCTTGTAATGTTGCCACACGTTTCCTGAGCCCTTGGGCAAGTCATTTCACCTCTCTGTGACATAAGTTACATCTACATAGACGTATGCAAGTCGGTACAAGTAGAGTGTGCCTGTACACCCACATGCCAGGTCCTGAAGCTACGACTGTGTCTACACTGCTAAATAACACGTGTCTGAGTGGCACAGACTAGTCCTGTCGACACTGAACAGAACTTGGCCCGTCTCTTCTTTTTTGGTCTCACGTGATGCCTCTGTATCCCTAATGCAATACTGGGGTTTTTACCTATTTTTGTAGCATCAGTCTGAGGATTTGTGTTGCATATTCTGTCACTTGGCAGGAAAGCATGTCTGTGTCTGGAGGAGCAAAACCAGTTTTGTTGGTGTAGGAGGACTGGATGGGGTGGAAGGAGCCAGACCTGTACTCTTCTGTCTTTACTGCCCATGGGATTCCTGTCCCCGTGGGTGTCACTTGGAGCGGCAGTGCCAGGCAGTGTGCTGACAATTAAACAGTATTGACCACCTGTGATCCTGTAAATCAATTTGTTTTCTGGCCCTGCTGTATTTAACAGTTTAGATGAAACCTGTGTGGCCGTGTCAGCATGGCTGTGTGCCCGCACTGACAATCAGTCAGGGTGTGTTATTTCACACACAGTGCTACACAGGTGGAAGAGCTGCAGCCACGAGAACTCATGTCATAGATACAATGAGTATTAGGTGACTGTCATCAAAATTGCCAAGTGGGATACCCAGTAGCTTAATTAAAGTGGATAAGAAGCATTGGTATTCTATACATAGAAGCTGGAGCAGTATGTTGTTGCTTGAGACAGTGTTTTCAGCCCGTAGCAATTTACAGACAACGTGCATATACGCCAGGAGAAGCATGGATTCCCCATAGCAAAAACCTCTTGACTGTGGGTGTGCTTTCCTGGGCTCCTGCCGTGTAGTCCCAGGACCCTTGGGGATCCAAGAACCATCGGGTGACAGCAGGGGGGGGGGGGGGGGGGGACAGTGGACATTACAAGGGGAGCGATAGAAGTCGGTGAAGATCATGAGACCTCTCTTAGACTGTTTCACAAGGCACTAAAAACTGATGTGGTGTTTGATGCCCAGGTACCTGCTCTGTCTCAGGGACAAGGATGCCATTTCACACAGCGGTCTGTGGGAGCGAGGCGGGTAGGATGTGAGAATGGAGCGAGGCTGCAGCACATCCAGAGCAGCAACCAGGGATCCTGCAGGGCTGGAAAGATCATGAGACCTCTCTTAGACTGTTTCACAAGGCACTAAAAACTGATGTGGTGTTTGATGCCCAGGTACCTGCTCTGTCTCAGGGACAAGGATGCCATTTCACACAGCGGTCTGTGGGAGCGAGGCGGGTAGGATGTGAGAATGGAGCGAGGCTGCAGCACATCCAGAGCAGCAACCAGGGATCCTGCAGGGCTGGAAGGGTCTGGGAGCAGGAGGGCCCCGTGCCGAGAAAGAGTAAGATGTTCTTACCCTCAGCTGCCATCCTGTTGATGTACACGCACTGCTGATAGTAATCTTATGTGTCTGCAATCTTGGTCTCATCTGTGTCTGCAATCTTGGTCTCATCTGTGTGTCACCTCTCATCCTGTGACAGCTCTGCCCCCGCATTGCCACAGGCACCACAAGAGGTTTTGTTGCTCCCCAAGTTATGTGGTGGGGAAGTGTTTTCTCCATGCAGCTCTCTGCCATTCATTCTGTCTCCTGGGGTAGGATTTGGGGCTAATGCTGCTTGAACTGGCTTCGGGCTCCTTGCAGGGTAGCTGTGTCATTTTTCTACCAAAAGTCTTGCTTGGCATTTTAGTTAAATCCTGTGCAGTGTGAGTTGCATGGATATCAGACAGCGAATTGTGAGTCAGAGCAAAGGCATTTGGTATCGCAGTGCTCCAGTGGAAGAAAAATATAAGGGTAACTGTTACAGTATTTACAGCATCATTCTTTATACTGAGATTTGCACAAGCTTGTTTGAGTTATTCAACATTAAAAAATCCATTATTATAGAGGAGCTGACTCATTAAAAGAGACTCTGTTTCTCCGGCGTACCCAGAAGGAAATTCAGTGCTTTAACACATCTGAATTCACTCAAGTGTGCCCTGTGCTATCAGTTAAACTACACAGAAAATATCTTTCTTCCCTGCACTGTTCCTGCCAATTCCCTCTTTCCTTAGTGCTTCCTCTGACTTGTCTTCTTCCCATCTGTAAAACAGATAAAAGGAGAAATGGCACCTTTGTACTCTGCAGATTTGCCCCTTGTGTGCATTCTTACCTGCCAACAGTAGCGACTGCAAATATTTCTTGTTTTTCGCCAGTGACAACAGCTAAAAAAACCATGTAGGGCAGAGAGTGTTTCTTTCTGTGCATCATTAGTGTTTGGTACATGTTGGTTTCTGGGCCACGTGAATACCTGTGCAAAGCCTATGTGAGGCAAATTATGGAGAGGATAAGTAGTGGGCACAGGAGTAACTCGGGGAGGATTTGAGCTGCAGGATCTGTTACTGACCATGCTAATGGGGAGAAGATCGCCTGGTTTCTAGGTCCTAGTCCATAGGCCTGACAATTGGTAAATATATATTTTTACTTGCAAATGGAGGAGATGTGACATGGTACGTCTAGCATGATGTACAGGGTGATACCATAAAAATCACATCTCTTTTTGGGGGAGACCATACTTCTTCCCTTGTGTCTCTTTTCCTCTTTGTTTGCCATTTGCCATGTGTCTGTCCTATGAGTCAAAATTTGACTACAGCGTGGTGAAACACTCAGACTCCTTTTTATTTCAACCCATAATATTCTGTGGTCTGCCCTTTGGCTAATTCCCCCTCTTACTCCCCTGACCTCTTTAGAAAAGCCATGATTCTTAACTGTATGAGCCAGCATTGCAAGATTGATCTTCTCTAAGCATCTCATGCTGTGATGCCTTGCATATTTTATATCAATGTTTTAATTGAGTCCTTGGATCATGATGGATGAGTGTTCACATTGGTGATTCTTCTCTGAATGAGGAACAGTAGAAGGAAATCTCCAGGAGCAGGAGAAGTGTGTGCAAATGAGTTGGTCTTATGTGAACTTTGAACATGTTCCTCCAGGCTGAGTTTGGAGTTGATACGTGATGTCAGATGGGATTCCCTGGAAACTGAAAAACTCTGCTTAGTTCTGGCTCTTCCACTACATGCTCCCACACATCTCCTTGAACGTTGGGCATAATTTCTCAGCTAGATGTAGTGAGCACCTCACTCCAAAATGGCAGGAGAGAGTAGGTTTGGACATAGGAAAAGTGAAAAAATACCTGACACATCCTAGCCCTGGTGAATGAGCAGAAGCTGGTTACAGAAAAACTGCTCAGGGCTAAGTACCGTTCTTGTAAAAAGGAAGAAGCAGTGGACTGAGATGCAGTATTTTCTTTCTTTCCAGACTTGTGTCAGCTGTGTTTTAGTCTGTGCTGGCTTTCTGCTACCGTTCCTGCCCTTCTCCTCTTAAGTGTCTTATCTACTACAGCAGCAAGTAATGAAACACTTTCTTTGTCTTGTGAAATTAGTAAGTGGGATGTTCCTGGGTTCAGCGGTCAGCACCAGGCCAGCCAGGCTTATTTGTTTAGAGGATGTCCTTGCAAGACTTCTCACACTAAACAAACAAGTGTTACATAAGCAATGGGAATCTGCACACTGGCTGCATCCATGCTTGGTGATCGCTTATCATGGCAGCCAGTTTCTTTTGCCTGCCTGGCAGTGATGTGAATCAGCTCCTGAAACAAGTAGGCAGCCAAGTGTGAATTGTAGCTGGCTACCTGGCATGGTGCTGATCCACATCTGTTCACAGAGTATGAACAAAGCAAGAAAAAAGAGATTAGCTGATCTTGCCTTTTTTTACAGAGCTGGTTGATGGGGTCATTTGTCAAGGTTTCACCAGCCAGCTGGGTCTGTTTTATCCAGATGATTGGCAGCTTGTGCATGTTGTTTCAGTTTTTTAGATGATTTTGAGTTCCAATCAAGTGCAATCTCAGAAGAGTCTGAGGGAGCCCATACGTCCCTCCAGAAGGAGGGATGTTCAGGGCAGGCGAGCAGAATGCCTGGGTATGCTGCTGGAGCAACAGTGAAAATTGCTAGAGGCTCAGGAAGAGGGTCTTTTGGGAGGAGAGGAACCGGACATCACAAAGAAACAAGCCTTCAAATCTTGATATTGATATAAGAGGGCAAATACCCACTTTCAGAATATATGGTATTCAAGGCTCTTTGGTTTTGTCAAGTTGAGTGAACGTTTGTGACATCTTACAGTTGTGTCAAGAAGATGCTCTCTCTCTATTAAGCTTCTTCTTTTCATTCATTTTTCCTTTCTGTGTCTGATGCTGAAGTTCATTTGATTTTCTGATTCCTCCTGCATTTAATTTCCCTGAATTCAGTCTCTGCCTGGATTTAGAGTCATAATCATTAATATTTGGAAGTGTAGGGTTAAAATGATAAAATAAATTTGTTATAATGTAGGATTTTTTCCTTCTAGCTTTTCAAGGTCTAATTATTTTGCAGCTGACCTAGTATGCAGTTGATAAGATGAAAATGTAAATTTACAGGTTTAGTATTCAAAGTATTTTTCATCTGATCAAAGAGGGGAAGCATTCTGCAAAACACAAAGCTTGCGTTTTTGCAAATGTCTGAAGTTAAGTGGATGTAGTCAAGCCATCAGAAAATCCACAGTGCATTCATTAATGCTTATTTCATTTTTCTACAGGAGGTCTTGACCTTATCTTCATGCCAGGCCTTGGGTTTGACAAAAAAGGCAACAGATTGGGAAGAGGGAAAGGATATTATGATACCTATCTTGAAAGATGTATGAAACATCCCAGTGGAAAGCCTTACACAATTGCCTTGGCTTTTAGGGAACAGATCTGTGAATCAGTGCCTGTGGCAGAAAATGATGTCCAAGTAGATGAAGTCCTTTATGAAGACTGCTGAAAGTATCTTGATACCAACCCACCTTCAGATTGACCAACCGAAGACGTTGGATCCATCAATCATGACTTTTTAATAGTCATATATGAATGACTTTGGGAGCAATAAAATACACTCTCTGTGTTTGAACAAAAAAAACAAAACAGTGTAAATGTGGTAATAGCGGTGAGGATTGCATTGATTTGCTTGTAATTAGGAAATATCTGGTGTGAATTCTGACTCTAGGATCAATAAAAACAAGAATGTAGGACCATTTATTACAGTAAGGACCATTTCTTCTCATCATACTTTTGAGGAACAAGCTACTTGATACTTAACAGTTTTATTATTCCAGTTTAAAAGTGAATTGTCTACTAATGACAGTTCTTGATCCATTCTGGAATTAGATGCTTGTTATGGTAAAAGTTCTTAGTACTTAATATTAATTTTGTGCATCCGTGAGCAAAACAAGAAACTGCCAGATAAGTCCTATAATAAGCTGGGCAAAAAACGGTGATTGGAAAAAAGCCTTAATTAATTTTAGCGTATACAATAATTTTAACTGTTTACTTGGCTCTCTGATGTTGTCTCAAAATAAAGGGAGTAGCTGTTAATTAAAAAAGGTTCATGTCCATGGCTTTGGTATATGGGTCTTTCCTTTATCTGAATACGAGATTGTATTGTAGTCTACAATGCGGTCAGTGAGTTCTCCATCTGGAGAAAAACAGGTCTTTATTGTAAAATAATATTCAAAATTACTGCAAGTTCTGTAATTTTGTACATGGGCCATTCATAATGTTCCAAAATAGTGTGAAGTATGGGGACTATGTTAAAGGATAAAGAGTTACTAAGTCCAGAGAGCAGGTTTTATTAAGTTTGTGGCTCGAAGGCAGTTTGTTTTCCGGTTCTTTGTACCATCCTGGAAATCAAGAAGAACATGGTGAGTTTTCCTCTGCACGCTGTCCTCATGTGTCTTCATTAGGACACAATACTTCCAGTCAGGCTCAAACTGTAAAAATTTTGTGTTCCTTCTTCAGTGCAACTTCACTTTTTCTCTACATGTTTAACTCCTCCCTCAGTCAACAAATCAGTGCATTTATTTTCACCAAACTACCCTGTGTCATCATTAAAAAATCCATGAGTTCTCAAGGACCAGCTGTGGAGTAGAATGACCTTAAGACTTCCTCAACAATTACTCGTTTTGTGAACAAACGCATGCCTACAGTACGTATGAACCTTTTCATCTCAGAATGCTTGTATTCAGTTGTATTTCCATTTTGCTAATACAGTAACTAATTAAACCCTCTTGCTCTGGGGTGAACATAGGCTTAGCAACTCAGCCTGTGCTCCCTGATGCTTCTTCACCCTGTGTTAACAAAGGTCCATCTGGCTGGGGTGAAGATACCTTCAGTATTGGGCTGCTGGGCATCCCACCAGTGCGTACAGAAAAGCTGCAGCCTAAAGAAACCAGCTGGTAGCAATATGGGCTGTTTAATAAAATTATGGTGATCTGACTTCGCCTTCCATCGGTTCTTTATCAAACTATTTCAGTCCACCACATGAAAGATGCAGAGTCCAATGTGTTCACAAAGGGTTGTGCAAGCAGAAGTTGGGATGAGGGTATGGGTGCTGTTGTGTGCGGTGGAGCATCCTCCAGCTCCTCTTGGCTCTGCAGAGCTTACGAACCTTATGATTCAAGACCTTTGGGGAATAAATGTGATGAGAAAATTGGACTGGTTTTTTTTTCAGAATGCCTGTCCTGGCAGTATTTTAATCCCTTCTTTATTTCTGAACTTCTGTTGGCATATGGAGAGCAACAAAAAAAAAAACAAAAAAAGAAAAACAAAACAAAAAAAAGAAAAACAGAAAAAAATAAAAAGAAAAAGAAAAAGACAAAATAAAGATAAGGCAGGCTTTGTGTGTGGCAGACCTATTTCTAGGTGTGTGTGCAAGGCTGAGTTCATCTGTCACGGTAGGCTCAGCACTATGCCATATGGCACGGCCTGCCACGGACATCAGCAAAGCTACGCTGAAACCAGTATTTTTCACAGCAGAAACCTGGATCCCAGGTCTGATAGATGTTGTAAATGCCTGTGTTAAGTTCAGCCCCATTCAGCAAGCTACCTGCTTCCGCCCCACCAAAACCAGTGGGTGCTTTCAGTGGTGTCCTGCATCAAGGTTTAACCATGGAGGTTTATCTGGGATCCTGAGACACGGTTAGTGTGACATAAAACACGACTGCATGAATGCTGCTCCACTAATACTTTAGGCACAGAACTCAGAGGCTGTGTCAGCGTAACAGAACATAACCAGAGGCTAATGACCTCTTGCTGATACATTCAACCTGAGGGGAAGCCATGATGGTTGGTTTTAAACCTGAATAGTATTTTTTTGAACTGTGTTTTATTAGGATGCCTTGTGCCACATAAATCAAGTGGCTATTGTGGAAGCAAACTTTTATCCAAAACCTCTGCGCCGTCTGGCTTTGCTCTTCTGAGGCATTCTTTGTATAAGAGGGTTTTTTAATTATTATTATTCTTTGCTCAGTTAGATATGAGTTTAGTCACAACATTTTACTGCCCTTTGGATTAGCTTTTGATCTTGCTGTCTGAGCTGTGATGTATTCACTAGAGTAGGGGCTGGCTGGACTCATGTATTTCACTACAGGTGATGCCAGGTACACAACCGTGCACAAAAGGGCCAGCACATGGTGAAGGGAATTCAGAGCCAGCACCAACAACTGTTCAGAAACAAGGTGCTTAGAGAGAGATGAGGACTTGGTCGTATGTTTTGTTGTGTCAGAGTTCAAATTAGGGGGGAAAAAGTAAAAAGCAAGAATTTGGCTGGCAAATACAGGCCCCTGTCCAGCACATCCACGGACCGGCACCAAACTTTGTCTTTGTGGGCTCACTGGAGTTGCTGGAACTAATTGGTTTAGGAAAAACAAGTGAGCTTTGAAGGCTTTCAGGACTTGAGGCAATGAGTGTCCCCAGGCTTCTTATCTCGCAGATCACATTTCGGTACAGCATGGAGCCCTTCCCTTTCGCTTTCCCTGTGAACCGCCCTTTTGGCTACAGCTGCAGTGGGAAAGGATGAGGAAACTGTTTAATGTACTGTGTCGTTGGGAACGAGAGGAGCTGGCGCTTTTGTTTCCTGCCAGCCTCTCCTGGGTCAGGAGGAGATCATCGGCCAGGCTGGGGGAGCTGCAGGACCCAGGCTGATGCAGATAGCTCTTAACGTTTGGCTGGTGGGGATAGTAAAACAATATTTATGTATATTGTCTTGAGAATCACAGGGATAAATTGACATCCCCAACCTTGCTGCTGTCGCTCAGGTTTTTCTGTTTGCCACATAACATGAAATCACTGTCAGTTTGATGGTATATAGCAGTGTTTGGGAAGCACAGAGGTTAGGGGGTTGGTAGGTGCATCAGAATTATTTACGTTTGCTATGCATAAAGTGGCACTTGGGGAGCAAGGCAGGCTGCCAAGAAGGAGAGGAATCGGGGCTGCCTGGCTGCTCTCTTGTATCTCTCTGTGCTGGTTTGTCAGGGTAGGATTTATAAAAATTGCTTCAAAACAGTATCATCTTTCCTCAAATGGCCGTGCCCCCGTCTGTTGCAGTGAGTGCCATTATTGCTGTGCTTATGACAAAGCGTCTATCAATCTCGGCTTTGTTTATAAACAAATCTGCCTGCCCTGCCTAAGAAATGGATAGGCTGAGGAAAAATACCATTACCGGAGGAATAAGTTAATTGTATTTCAGAATCTCAGCAGGGAATGCTATCTCGGAGTATTCAGTAAGATCTGACCAGTGGAGTTATAATTAAAAAATGTCCCCAGGGAGGAACTTGTAAATTATTTACTGTAAGGGGCTTTTCCAGGCTCTTTTAGTTTAATTACACACTCTGAAAGAGAAAGGCCTCGGAAACAAATTAACTAAGAGGTTGAAATGGCTTTGTTAAAATCATGTTCACGGCTAAGCAAGTGGAAGACTGCGAGCAAGGTTCAAATACAGGACAAACCGTCGGAAGCTGGCATTACTTGTTGTGTAAAAGTCATATGAAAAGCACCAAAATGTGTGTAGAAAATGCACTGTTTTGTCCGGTGTTCCCACTGGCCTTGGAAGACTTTGTATGTAGTCCAGATCTGACAGTGCCTCATGTCCTCATGGCCATCTGCTTTGTGGGGAGAGGAACTGACTTTTATGGGGTTTTTTGATAGGGTGCGGATGAAGTCCTAGCAGAGGGGGGTGAAAGATTAGAGGTGATGGAGAGGCAGAATGAGAAGATGCTGGGACAGTATGAATTTCCCAGCACTCTCATACCACCTAAGGCATTTCAGCTCAAACCAGCCTGGTTAACCCTCAGTGGCAGGTGGGCTGAATGTGGCCCTTGGAGCCCATACTGTTGGTGGTTGTGTCCTTTTCAAATGTGTGGGTGAAACCTGACTTGCTCGCCCTCCCGTGTGAAACACAGCTTAAGCGTTTGCTACAGATGTTGGCCCCTGGAGCTGGCCTTTGCTGGAAGACAGCTGGCATGATCTCTGCTCAGACGTGGAGAATGGAAGTCAAGAGGCCAGAGCCATCCGCTCATCCCAACAACTGACTCACTGCTTGGCAGAGAGGGAGGCATTATCTAATATCTGTTTGCTAAGGAGTAAGGCAGCCAGTAATGCTATATCTGCCTGCCTGTGAATGCCAAATTTTATCTATGTAATGGCCTTTCCAATGCCATTGTCCTTGCATTTATTTCTTTCCGAAAAAAACCCCACATCTACCATGGCACCCTTAGCAAAGAGCCAACTGGCTGAGCCTCTGCACGGCTGCTGGTGCATACGTGCTCGTTAGCCCATATACATCCATATAGCGTTTATCTTTTGCTTGAGTCTCCTTTTTTTTTTTTTTTCAAATGTATTGCACTTCCGTGTCTTGCTTTGATGGAAAGTGCCCCAGAGTTAGCAGTCTCTCTACCCCCTGCATGTGCACAGTCTTCAACACACGCCATTCGATTACAGCCCGAGGGTACCGCTGCTGAACAGTAAGTTCTCCACCTTCAGGCAAACTAGCTGAAAATCCACAGATGAAAGCTGCTTTAGTCATTCATCAGGCAGATGAGGTCTCTGCTTTTATTTTGTTAGAGTGTAAATCTGATGCTTGGTTTTCTAGTCTCTCTGAAAACTACTGAATCATAAAAACCCTTGTAGCAAATGCCAGCTTGTCTGTCGCCAGAACAATACACTAAATGGCTTATCAACTCCAAGAGAAGACTACAATACTTTTGAGAAGATTTAGATATATAGTTAGGGAACAAAATATGTTGACAGCTTTAGAATTGTCTTGATGAGTAGATCTTATTTGGTATTTTACTATAATGTA